CGCGGGCCGGCCCCCCCCCCCCCCCGCCCCGGGGGCCCCCCCGACAGTCGGAGCCTCCGCCGGGGAGGGCGAGGCTGGCTCCGCCGTGGGCTTTCCCCCGGTGCGGCTTCCCAAGGACGCCGGGGCGCAGGGTGCCTGGGAGCAGGGGAGCCCTTGCTAGCGCCTGCAGCTCAGCGGAGGGCTTCGGGAACCGGTGTCAGGCCGAAGGGCTGCCTTCGGGCTTAGGGTGTTTAATATCATTGCTGCTCAGGCATTAACAGTATGAAGGACAAGTCCTGATGAAGTAATGTACCAGTGACATGCTGGGGTCACATGTAGCACTGCTCCTTTGGGGTAACTTAATAAGACAGCTGACTCAAAAGCATAAAAAGCAGCTTGCACCATATTGCTCCGTTGTTCAGTTTCTGGATTTCTAGATAGGCAAACTAACTGAATTACTTCAATGGTATTTGATACTGAAGAGAACTTCACTGTCAAGGATTTGTAGCTTTGCTCTGTCCTCTTCTACCCAGAATTCATGGCTTAGAAAAGACTACTGTGCTACTGGTGTGGTCTTTTTCTTTAGAACAATTTTTTTTTTTGTTGAGGTTCTCCATGTTGACTTTGCAGTTACTTTGGGAGGCCTTGAAGATATAGGCACTAGAATATTATTCAAGTAGTAGGAGAGGGGGACAGAAGGCTAACAACGTTACTGTGCTGGCCATGACATCATACCAACCCACAGCGAGAGCTATAAAACTTGTAGCTATAGATAATTGATTTGAAAAGCACTGTGACTTCGCTTTCTGTAAGGCATTATGTTCTTAGCCCAGGTGAAACTTATGGATCCTAAAGTAATTGTTGCTGTCTTTGATTCTGGGCTGTTAGCATTGTTCCAAGTCTTAGAACAGTCTAATAGTCAAATTGTGCAAAAAGAGAGGTTGGGATTTTTGTATTTACTGGTGCTCATTCTCAATGTTCAGTGTCAATTTAAGAACACGGAAAAGCAGAGAAGCCAAATCGTACATGACATAGTGCAAACTTGACGTAATGTTGCGTTACTGCATGTGAAGGAAGTCAGCGAGCATTGACATGCTGTTAGGGTAACGTGTAAATGGTAAGTTCTGTCTTGCTCTTGGACTAATAACAGTCGCTTTCAGTTTCAGGAGGTGGCCGCCTGTTAGAAAGCATTCGTAAGTGGTATTACAATGCGGCTGGATTCAATAAGCTTGGTAGGTATTGTTTCTGCATGTGTTCCTAAGCAAAAAGTCTCACAATCTAGCTTTAATTCGTTACTGGTACACATATGCTCATTTGACATAGGTATTGTTTATCAAAGTTAATTACTATTTTTGTCTGTAGAAAAAAGTTAGCAATAGCTTCAGTCCTTGCGATTGCTATCTAGTAATGAATCACTGACTCTTTTTTTCTGGTTTTTTTGGTTTTCTTTTTTTGTGTCCCAGGGAAACTGGGTTTTTCATTTTTTTCTGCCTAAGTTTACCCTGTCATTGTCTCACCAGGACTTGATTTAGGCCCTCTTCTTTCCTGCCTGCTGAAATTCTTGAAGATATTAGTACTACTTGCTGCTTTTCTATGACTGTGATTAAAAACCTGAAGATTAAACTAGCAACTGTCCTTATACTTTTTTTTTTTTTTTTTTTTTTTACAAAACTGAATTCAAGCATATGTGGCTCTTAAAACAAACAAGAAAGGTCTCTTTAATCAGAGACTATTGCTAGCTCAGTCACATAAGATCAAAATCAAAACCTTTATCCGTGAACCAGTACACGTACTTATAATCTGCATTTATCTTGGAACGTTACAGAAGCAGAACAAGCTTTTTTTTTTTTCTTTTGTGTTGTTCATGCTGAAACTTATAGCAGAGTTGATTGAATTCCAGAAATCGTTTGCTCCAAAAACAATGTGGGTCTATTTTTGGCTTTGAGGAGACCAAATTATTCTCCCTGTATTCACTTTTGGTAGGAAAATAAGCTTAGTCAGAGGCATCTAACTTCAGGCATCCCTAGCTAGTTATAGCTGGTGGAGATCTAGTCCATATGCACGGTGGAGTTTAGAGAACAGTTCTTTGATGCTAAAGTAGTCACAGCTACTTGAGTGACTATAATATAATTAGTGCTTTTAAATCCTAAACCTAGACAGTCATCTTAAATACAGGGATCTAAAATTTGTTGACTGTAAGTCCACCCTTCATATCCAGGCTAGCTGCTTTTCTATATGTATTCTGAGTACTCCAGTGTAACACATAGAATCAAATATCCATTTTTCCTGTTCATTTTTGAGAGAGAGCATCACCAAGTGAATCATGTACATGCAAGTCAGTGCTTACAGTTTGTTCTCTGTGAGCAAATACTAATTCTCTTCTCTTGCATTGGTCTGTGCTTGCATTTTAGGTGTGATTCTAGTGTTATGTTTAACCTATGTTAATCGTAAATCTTAATTAGTGATATTTATTCAATGATGTTGTAAAATCTTGCCAATACAGGGTTAATGCGAGATGATGTGTTGTACGAAGATGACGATGTAAAAGAAGCACTCAAGAGGCTTCCAGAGCCTCTTTACAATGAGAGAATATTTCGCATGAAGCGAGCACTTGACTTAAGTCTGAA